TGCCCATGATCCCGAGAGGAGAATGGAGGAGAAGGGATTGCAGAGTGACCATCCCCCCTGGGGGGTGATTTCTCGCTTTCTGTCTCTATGTCTCTCTGTCTTTCCGGCAAGCGCATCGCTCTATAGCAAAAACCTCTCCAAAAAAAACCTACATGGTATCCTTCTTAGACTCTCTTTACTGTTTTTATTCTTGAAGTCTACTTTTTCTGACATCAGCATCTCAGTTTCAGCCTTTTTTGGTTTCTATTTGCATGAAATAACTTTTTCCAATCCGTGTATCTTTATCAATAAGATGTGATTCTTGTAAGCAGTATATAGAAGATTCCTGTTTTTTCATCCATTCATCTAGTCTGTGTCTTTTAATTGGGGGATTTAATCCATTAACACTCAACATTATTATCCATGTTTATGGCCTTATCTCTGCCATTTTGCTAGTCATTTTCTTAATTGTTTTGTGTTTTCTTATTTCTATTGTCTCCCCTTTGTTTTCCTGATGTCATATCCCCCTAAGTGTTTTTTGACAAGCTGGTGTAGTATTGCTCAATTTTTTGTTTTTATTTATCTGAGAATTATTTTATTCATCCTTCCCATTAGATAAATCTTACCAGGTAAAATATTCTTGACTGAATTTTTTTTCCTTCTGAATTTTGAGTATATCTTCCCCTTCCTCCATTGCCTGCAATGTTTCTGTTGAGAAGTTTAAGGTTAATCTGATGGGATATCCTTTATAAGTAACTTGACGTTTTTATCTTGTCTTTGACTTTTGCCAATTTGTCTATGATGTATCCTGGAAAAAGTCTTTTTTAAAAAAACTATTATTTAATTTTATTTATTGTCATTGTTTTATTTTATTTTATTTTATTTAAGTTGACCAGAGAGAGACAGAGAGAGAAGGAAAGTGAGAAGCAAGCTGCTAGGTCCGAGACTCAAACCGTGGTCAGCCATGTGGGAGTCCAACTGCCTTAACCACCATGCCACCTGCTGTCTGTCGGTAAAAGTATTTTTAGGTTGAATCTATTTGGTGTTTTTGTATTTCCTGGATCTGGATGTCTGTATGTCTCTTTGGATTTGGGAAGTTTTCACAGTATTTCATCAGAGAGTTTCTCTATCTTTACTCATCTTTTTACCTTTTGAAATGTCCATTATGCAGATACTCAGCTGCTTACTGGCTTCTAAAATTCCCATATGTTGTCCTCATCTTTTTTTTTAATTTACTATAGGGCATGTATGTTCACTGGAGAGAGTGAGAAGGCGCTCCCAGTGGGAGTGACCATGCTATCCTCTCTTCTCCTTTCAGGATTTTGGGCCACACACACACACACACAATCCCAGTGTGTTTTTTTGTTTGTTTGCTTTTTTGTGAGAGATTGTTCGTTACTGAGCATATGCACTTGCCAGAGAGACAGAAGAGACAGAAAGCGAGAAGTCGCCTCCTAGGGGAATGGCCACACCACAGTCCTTTCTCCAGTGCTGCCAGGCCCAGCTCGAACCACGATTGACTACGTGGGAGTCCAGCCATGTAACCATTATGCCATCTGCTGGTCCTGCCCAGTGTGTTTTGTAAGCTGCTGGGATCCAGCCACCTTAACCACCATGCCACCAAGCTCTCATGTTGTCCTCACTTTTAATGGTTACTCTTCTGTTCTTTTTGGCAGCTTACACTAAATCAGATGTTTTGTTTTCAAACTCAGAAATTCTTCTGAGTTGGGGCCAGCAGTTGGCACAGTGGCTATGTTGCTGAACTCCCATGTAGTCGACCACAGTTTGAGTCCTGGACCCAGTAACTTGAACTCATGCTGGGCACATGTACATGCGTGCCCTAGGATACTGAGAAGAGAATGGAGGAGAAGGGATTGCGGTGTGGCCATACCATCTGGAAAGGTGATTTCTCACTTTCTGTCTCTCTGTTTCTCTCTGTCTTTCTGGCGGGCGCATGTACCCTATACCTAAAACCTCTCCAAAAAAAAAGAAAAAAAGATTCTTCTGAGTTGTTTAATCTGTTAATTCTTTAGATTTTTTTTTGCTGTAAGGGTCATGCACTCACCAGAGACAGAGAGAAAGTGAGAAATCACCCCCTTGTGTTATGGCCACACCACAATCCCTTCTCCATTCTCCCCTTGGGATTTTGGGCACGCACCCAGCATGTTCTTAAAGCGCCAAGTCTGGGACTTAAACTGGTAGTCAGTATTATGGGATCCATTGCCTTAACCACACCACAACCTATGGGCCCCTGTTGTTAATTCTTTCAAGAGAGATTTTTATTTCCTTTATTGTACGTTTCATCTTCAGAAGTTCTAACTGATTCTTTTTTAGGGTATCTGTCTCGTCATAGAGGTCCTGCTTTGTGTCATAGAATGATTTTCTCATCTCCTGGAATTGTGTTCTCTTGCATCTCGTTGAATTTTGTTATGACTGATATTTTAAATTCTTTTTCTATGTTTCTGTGATTTCTTACATTTTATCCATTGTTGGTGAGGAGTTACTGTGTCCCTCTGAGGGAGAGATTTTTCGTTTTTTCATATTTCTTGTCTCTCTGCATTGGTTTTAGGCGTCTGGTAGAGTATTCACTTCTTCCTAATTTTTGGAGTAGATTCTCTAATGCCCAGGGGCAGGAAAGTCCCAAGTCCCAGGCATGCCCCTGGCTAAGTGGCCCAGGAGGGACCAGAGGTCAGAGCAGGGCTTGTATAGCCCGTGGTGAGACCTGGAGGCAAAGCTGCTATTGGGGAACTCATGCAGCCTTGACAAGGTGGTCTGAGAGTGTTGGGGCAGCCCTCTCTGAGGGCCCTGAGCAGCCTGCACGTGACACCTGAGAGCAGCATCTTTCTCAAGGCCTGAACGTGGCTGTGGGGAGGCAGTCAGGTAGAGAGAGGCGGGGTAGCCCTTAGGACTGGGCACGGCCTTGGCACAAGGGGCCGATAGCTAGCTGTGCCATTCAGATCCAAGCCAGGCTCATGTACTCTGCCTCTAATTTCCGGCAGCAGGTGACCTTCCTGATCCGGGCACAGCCTTGGCAAGATCATCCAGAGGGGTCAGAGGCCAGGCTGTCTGTGAGACACACAGTGGAGGCAGGCCCTGTTTCTTATGGGAAACCCAGAAGCAAACATGCCTGGTTGTGGCCTGGGAAGCTCACCTGTGAGGGGCCAAAGCCAAACCTACGTTTGAGCCCCTAACCAGTCTGCAGCCTTAGAGCCTGGCGACTGGGGGAGGCTGGTAGGGCTGAGCAGGTCCCACTAGGAGTGAGGTGGCTAGGCCCTGCTCTCTAGGACCAGGAGTTGGTCTGGGTGGTGCCCCGTGTTCCCCACCCTGACCCAGAGCAGGACTGTCTGGTGCCCACAGGTGTCCCTCTCCTTCCTTTGACCCACACACAGTTAGATCCAGATCTGCACCGTGGGTGCTATCAGTTGGGGTAGGTGGCCACACCCTGAGACTTGAGTCTCAAGGTAAGGAGAGTGCAGGCCTCCCTGCCTGCCAGACAGGGAGAAGTGTCCAGTTCCTCCCTTGGGGGTGCAGTCCTCCATCCTCTGCTCCCACCAGGCTGTAGTGTTGCTTGTCAATAGAGCTCCACAGCGCCACCTGCTGGCCAGCGCTCCTGTGGCTTGGGGCGGGTGTGGGAAGGGTAGTCTGGTGCTATTTCTTGAGCCGTGGACTCCAGCATTTCCTTGCAATACGCATTCGCTCCCTGCCAGTTTTGTTGTTTCTTCTTAGGTGGGGAGCACTGGAATCCAGGTGGGAGTCGGGTTCAGAATTTCTGAGTCAAGTTCCTCTTGTCTTCTCCCCTGGAGGAGAAGAGGCGAAGGTTTCCTCCAGAGCCTCACGAGTCTCAAATGACCCCCTGTACTTTCCCAAGTAGAAATTAACTGTTCCGGGAGTCCCCGCCGTCTTCTCCTGGCACTTCGTCCATTTCCCTCACTCCTCTACTTTCTCCCCTATGACAGACAGACTGACACCCCCAACAGGGTCTCGCACCACCACCCGGCCCACGTGAGGCCAGGTGCATTACCACTGTGCCATCATCCGGCCCCTGCTTTTTATGTCAGGTGTTTTGATTTTGTGCTGTTTTTTTCTGATCGTCTGTGAGAGCTGCTCACCAGAGCTCAGGTCTGAACCTGGCACGCGATGGGTTCAAAGATTCACTGGGGCAGCTGGTCATATTTAGACTTAAATGAACGAAAAATAGATTGTAAATGGATATGTGGAAAAACTGAATGCCTAGTAGTCAAGGGAGCTGGATCCCACAGGGCCAACCACAGGGTTCAAATCCCAGCCCCAGCAGCTTGAAAAACTTGTTGGGCCCATGAACATGCATGCCCCAGATTCTAACAGGACGGGAAAACGGCGGAGATGAAGCACCTGTGCACCCATTGTGGGCTGCTTGCTTGCTTTCTGTTTTTCTGGCAAGCACACAAGCTCTCTGGCAATTAAAAAACTAATTTAAAAAAGAAAAACTAAGCTCCCACGTTTCTATCACTGATACGCCCCTGTGCACTATGCAAATCCAGCGGACAGAGAAGTCCAGCCGGCCAGCCTGGACACGCGGCCGGCTGTCCTCGGACACTCTGCCGGCGGGCAGCGCTTCTCAGCAAGTACTTCTCTGTCCACCCACCCCTAAGTCCCGTGGGTCACACCATGCCAAGCAGCCCTCACCGCTGGCCCACAGCTCTCCCGGCTCCCTGGCTGCCGTGTCGCCTCCTAGTCGCCCTCCTTGCTCTTACACCCCCAGACTCAGCAGGGCCTCGAGCTCACTGCCGCCCGCCAGCACCTGCTGACCAGCTGGCTCAAAGTTTGACAGGAGGCAGCGTGACTCTGGTGGCCGTCTGTCCGGAGTAGTCTGTTTCCTGGGGAGGTCTAACTCAGGCTCCATGGGGAGCTTCGGATTCTGAGAATGAAGGGGAGCCACGTTACCAGGAGCGGCACTGTCGTTAGAATCACTGCAGACTTTTATCAATGTTCTCTGACTATTTCAAGTGCCCTGGTTGTAACCATAGACTGTGTGGGTTTAGTTTGCAGTTAACATGTTTCGAACATTACCACCTTCTTCTAATCCTACGGGAGCAGAATTCGACCCAGAGGAAGACGAGCCAACGTTAGAAGCAGCCTGGCCTCATCTACAGGTACTGGGCTCTGGGCACGCCCCGGAGTCTAAGGGTGTGAGCCGGGGGCTGGGGGCGTCCCAGGTTCCATAGAGCAGGTGCGCTGGCCCAGGACTCCTTCCCTGGTGCTGGCAAATCGACCTCTGACCTTCAGCAGCACAGTCCTTGCAAACCTCTAAATACGTGACATTCGTTTTAGCAGAGCCAAGTGAGTGTGTGGGTAGGGGGGTGTGAGTGTGTGTGAGTGTGCAAGTGGACACTGCACCAACTGTGAAGATGTAGACTTGTGTTTTTAGTGCAAATGACCACCTCGTTGGCAGCTGCTGGCTTCAGGCCTGGTGGGCTGCAGCCATGCCTCTGAGGTCACACTTGGACTGACCACGTGCTCACTCTGCACCCCGGGTCCCCGCGCTAAGGCCTTTCTCAGCATGTCATGAGAGGTTGATCAGTTAGGAGGTGCTGAGGCCACTATAGCAGAGCGCACGCCAGGCACGCAAGGTGGGGAGGTGAGTGCCTTCCAACAGCACAGCCAAGGCGGGAGAAAACTGGGCCTAGGTGGTGGAGACCCTCACAGCGCCAGGCCGATGTGCCGCCCACTCCGCCTGTTCTGGTAGCTGCCAGCCCTACGTGAGGGCCATCAGTGTCTGCCCCTTACGACCCTCTTACCAGCAGCCCATTTTGGCCCCTTGGCTCTGCCTCAGCACTACGGGATGCTTGGGGGTGACACGCCACGGGTCCCACCTGAGTTCGGTCACGGCCCCGTAGTGGCAGCTGTGCTCTGTGGGCTCTGCGAGTGTGACCTACGCGACATCAGCCAGAGGTGGCGTCGCCTCGGTGCCTCGTAGAGTGCGGGCAGTGTCCGTTCTTGGTAACCGCCGTCGCCAGCGAGTTCACGGAGCTGTGTGATGTAGCAGGGTCCCTGTAGCTAGGGGCCTGCTCAAAAGGCTGACGTCCACAACACGTGAAGAGGAAGCTCATGCATGTTTCATCCGTTCACGAAACGCTGTTATTTGACTCACTGTTTTTGTTTTTTTCCTCCTAGCTTGTTTATGAATTTTTCTTAAGATTTTTAGAGTCTCCAGATTTCCAGCCTAATATAGCCAAGAAGTACATCGATCAGAAGTTTGTATTGCAGGTAAGGTGCGAGTCAGCGCACACCGCCATGCCCTGGTCTCGGAGCCCGCACGCCACTGAGTGTCTTTTTCTTCTTGAAGCTTTTAGAGCTCTTTGACAGCGAAGATCCTCGGGAGAGAGATTTCCTTAAAACCACCCTTCACAGAATCTATGGGAAATTCTTAGGCTTGAGAGCTTACATCAGAAAACAGATAAATAATATATTTTATAGGTAAGTCATACATGGGTGGCCTTTCTCTGGGATGCTGATGTCCAAGTCGTTGATGTTCCCCAGCCCCTTCATCCCCGTGGACATGGAGCAAGGACCCCTAGAGGTGGCTGTGAGCAGCCTGTGTGTCCCGTGCCAGCTGGGCCATCTGCCTCCCCGCCCACATCGTCACTCACTCCTGGGCCCCCGCTGCCCAGCACCTCACTGTGCCCTTCCGTGTTGGGTTCTCCGGAATGACCCCACTTCCCTGAGATGGGGTGAACCGGTCTGTCCAGCACCTCTGTTCTCCCCCCGTGTTATCTTGTCTCCCCTGCTGCATCATGGTGAGAGAAGGTGGGTGACAAGGCCTGGAGAGGTCCAGGAACCCGGACTAGAGATGGAGGCTCCTGCCAAGTCTCGGGGAGGGGACCCTGTCAGGGACAGCAGTAGAGGAGGCCATGTGGCAGTGCCAGGCCCATCGCTGGGCACCCGCCGTGTCCCCACTGCCCTCTCCCACCCCTGCTCACGTCGTTGGCAGGTCTGTTAACACCCTCCGTCTGCCAAGGTCTTTGCTGCCCCTACCTGAATCCCCCACATGTGGCTGCTCTCTGGGAACCAGGTGCCTGTCTCTGGCGAGGGAAGCCCGGAATGCAGCCAAGCCGGCCTCTGCCCTCACCCAGGCCTCTTCCACGCCAGGGCTTTGCAGCTGCGATTCGTCCCCACAGGTGTCTTTTCCCACCAGCCCTTCCCTTGGCCTCCCAGGCTTCCCGAAGCTTTCCTCACCAGCAGCACCCGCCAACTTGGCAGCAGGCCCCGGTTCCCACGGGGCAGCATGATGGTGTCTGTGTGTCACACACCCCAGGGCCAGCTTCGTGCCCAGCCCGCCGTGACCCCAGATACCGTTGCTGGAGGGAGCAGAGTGGCGTTGCGTGCTCACCCCGGAAAGCTCCGAGCGAGCATTTATTCCATGTTTGAGTTCCCGTCAGCTCTTGCTCCGGTGTGACTCAAGACAGTGACAGATGCTAGCAGTGATGGGGACAGGGTGACAGCGTCCCTCTGTGAAGTGAGAAGGCAGGTGGGTTTCATGCAGTCTGCCTGCAGGGCCAGAGTAAGGGTGACAGTGCAGGCTGCCACCTGAAGCAGTACCTTGGGTGTCAGCCACCGCAAACACACCAGCCTGGCCCTTTCTTAGTCACCGCAACTGAGCAAGGAGGCAGAGGGCAGCGCAGAGACGGACAGCGGCTGGCAGATCCTGCTGCCCCCACCCCGACCCCAGCACGCGAGCTCCAGCCTGTCCCGCTCTGGCTGGCAGCTGCAGCCTCCTGTTCCCGCCTCCTGCTCCCGCTCTTCACGGGCCTTAGGGTCTGATTCATTCCCCTAGGCTTCACCCGGAGAGGACGAGGTGGTGACAGAGCTCCTGAAGTCCTTCTGGGGCCCCGCATCCCACTTAGATAATGGAGCCCAGGGCAGGACCCGGCCCAGACCCGACAGCGCATCTAAATGGGAGGGTGACGTCCTCTTCCTAAGCTTACGTTCTGCTTCGTTTCTCTTGGGAGTGTGCTCCCTTTTTTTTTTTTCTTTTCTTTTTTTTTTTTTGGAGAGATTTTCACTGTGGGGCGCGTGCGCTCGCCAGACAGACAGAGAGAGACATAGAGACAGAAAGCGAGAAATCACCCCCCAGGGGGGATGGTCACGCCGCAATCCCTTCTCCTCCATTCTCCTCTCGGGATCTTGGGCACGCACGCACACGCGCCCAGCGTGAGTTTTAAGCCACCGGGTCCGGGACACAAATCGCGGTCGACTACGTGGGAGTCCAGCAACATAGCCATTATGCTAACTGCTGGTTTCCGTGTGCTCCCTTTTTGACAGGACGGTTACTTGGGTGATATATTTACCAATCAGAATGTAACATACATCAGTTAACATAGAACAGGTGCAATTGAAATTCCAGTATCTCAGACCCGAAGTTCAAGCCTGTCCGAAAGTGTTTTTGTTCCCTTAACACTAGGAGGCTTGGCCCGGCCAGCAGAGTCACAAGTCTATTGAATACTTCATGAAGGAAGTAGAAATGTTCTCATACCATAAAGACCTTTAATTCAGTAACAGAAATACTTAGAATGTTATTCAAAAGTTACATCACATTAAATGAAGGTATTACACCTAACAGTCCAGTTCTCACTAAAGGGCTGGTACTGGAATGTGACGTGCATGTGGGTAGTTTTGTTTTTTTGTTTTGTTTTTGTTTTTGTTTTAGAGGTTTTTGCTATAGGGTGCGTGTGCTCATGAGAGAGACAGAGAGAGAGAGACAGAGAGACAGAAAGCAAGAAATCACCCCCCCAGGGGCGATGGTCATGCCACAATCCCTTCTCCTCCGTTCTCCTCTCGGGATCTTGGGCACGCGCCCGGCGTGAGTTTTAAGCCATCGGGTCCAGGACGCGAACCGCAGTCAACTACATGGGAATCCAGCGACATAGTCATTACACTAACTGCTGGTTCCACTAGTTTTGTTTTTAGTAATCTTTTCTATTTAGGTTGAGATCCCTTTTCCAAAATGCTTAGGTCCCTGGAAAAAATCCAAAAGTGTTTTAGATTCTTTTCCGATTTTTTTTAAGGTTTCGGAATATTCGTATATATACATAAAACAAGATATCTTGGGGTTGGGATCTAAGTCTAAACACAAAATTCATTTACATTTGTTTGTTTGTTTGGGGTATTTTTTTGGTTTGGTTACTTTTGGTTTTTTTGGTTTTGGTTTTGTTTTGTTTTTGTTTTTTTTTTTTGAGGGAGGGAGCTTTTTGCTATAGGGCGCGTGCACTCGCCAGAAAGACAGAGAAAGACAGAAAGCAAGAAGTCACCCCCCGGGGGCATGGCCATACCACAATCCCTTCTCCATTCTCCTCTTGGGCACGTGCGCGCGCACGCGTGCACGCGCACACACACACGCCCGGTGTGAGTTTAAGCCCCCGGGTCCGAACCGTGGTTGGCTACGTGGGAGACCAGCGAGGCAGCCACTACGCCATCTGCTGGTCCCCATTTGCATCTCCTATATACCATTTTATCTCTGTCTCATGTACCCTTATGCCCACGTATGAACGCAGCCTCACCCACGTGTCGTGCTGCAGCATGTTGACTGCAGCCTGCCACACGAGGCCAGGCGTGGCATTCCACGGGCGCCGTCATGCTGGTGCTCAGAAGATTCCCGGTTCGGAGCACGGTACTCTTTGGCTGGGGTGCCCCTGTATGATCTTGGTGTACGCAGTGAGAAGCAGGATTATTTCCTAGATGCAGCGGGTAGCTGGTCCGACTTGCCCTCCTCAGTACTCCCCCATTTCCTGTGAGAAGCCTGGGAGAGGGGCCTCACGAGGCGTGTGCGGTGTACCTTCGTCCTGTGGCGCAGCGGTCCGTGTAAGGGGGCTGTTGGGAGCGTGCTCCGGTCGACTTAGTGAAAAGGGGAATGTCACGTTCTTGTTTGTCCCTGTTGCTTCTCAGGTGAGTCAACTCTTTCCATGTGACAAGTTAGGATGCCTGCTGGGGTTAGGGGACAGGCAGGGCAGTAGTCCCCTCTCTCACATGGCAGCCACTGCCCCACAGCTCAGGGCCTGGCCAGCCCCACCTCCGGCTTCATGGTCGTCATCTTGGTGGGACTCGCTGATGATCTGCCCTGTGCGAGCCCCGGGTGGCTTCACCCCGTCTGGTGCCTCGGCTTGGCCGGCTGGACCACCTGCTGGGCAGGCCCGTCTCCATGGCCTCTCTGTGCTCCGTGCTTGGGCTTCCTCAGGGCCTGGGGCCCACAGGTAGTGGCCCCTCCTCCAGGCCACAGCTGCTTCCAGTGCCCCGGGTCTGACCTGGGGCTGGTCGTCACTTCTGCCCGCAGTACTGCTCACAGCAGGGCCCAGGACGGCGCAGGTCCTGCAGCGGGAGGTCGCAGATCCCGCCTCTTCGTGCAGGTGTCCCACACCTCGTACGGGGATTGAGGCCTCTCAGCACAGTGGGTTCCAGCCCAGGCCCTGGGGGTCCGGTTCCTCTTTTGCTGAAGGAGTGGAAAGCACACAGGCCTCCAGGAGAACCGTCTGAGCCTCCCTCCCATTTGGCGCCCTCCTCTTCTGTCTCCCTCTGGAAGAGGATAGAGAAATATCCTTACTTTTTCTTTCTTATACCAACTTTAAATCAGGTTACTGTAATTGGAAAATGGGAGCTGGTCGGTAGCAGTGTGGTGATGTTGGTTTAGGAAGGCAAAGTGGCCAGGCTACAGCCTCCTCCCACCCCGCTGCGGTGTCACGCTGGCGGGGAGGGAGCAGAGCAGCCCACGGACCCGGGGTCAGTCCGCTTGGAGAGGCTGCGCCGCATGCCCCCACGCCCAGGTGCTTCCGTGACCGTGTGCACACGAGGGGCACAGGACACTGACACTGCGTGGCTGCACTGAACTCAAATTCCGAGTATTTCAGATAAAACAAGTGAAACGAGGGAGCCTTCAGGTCAGGTTCTGTGACCTAAAGCCTTTGGCAAAGTGGACACACCACGGGGGCCTGACGCGCTCAGAGAGGGTGGCAGAGAGGCTGGCAGGAAGCAGTGTGAGCACTTTCCGCCCGTGCACTCGCACGTGGGTGCCCTTTGCCAGGGTGCCAAATTTGGTGGCAGGATCGTCCCTGCCGGCTCCCCGGCGCCGGGCGGGGCCCCTGGGGTCCCGCACGTGGGTGCCCTTTGCCAGGGTGCCAGGTTTGGTGGCAGGATCGTCCCTGCCGGCTCGCAGGCTCTGGCCGAGCTCCTCGTGTTCCTGCACTGCCGCCTCCCGGTGCCCGGAACCCCAGGGCTCACCTGTCTGCTCTGGCCTCAGGCCACCCTTCCCATTTTGCAGGCCCATGTTCTGGATGAGTTCCTTACCCCTCCCGGCTTCCACTGGGAAGAGCTCTCGGCCCCCAGCGGGGCGGGGCCCCTCTCGAGCACCAGCACCCCAGTGGGTGCCGTTCGTTTGGGACGTAGAAATGTAAGCCCCATTCCTCAGAAAGCTCTCACATCGGCAGGTGCTGGCCTGCTCTTTACCTTAAGGTCCTCACCCTGTGGACCCCAAACATGGAATTTCAGGATCAGTTCTCCTAATCCTCACACTCATGTCCAGTTAGAGCCACCTCTGAGAGTAGTTCCGGCCCACAGGCAGGAGCCGAGCCAGACACGGTTCACCCCTCGCAGACCGTTGCGTGACCTACGTAGGGTGTGGGGCAGCAGTGGCTGTTTCTGGGGAACTCCTCTGGGGGAGGATGTCCTCCTGCTGCTTGACACTTCCCTGTTCCCGCTCCTTGTCCCCAATTTATTCACCAGACATGCTTTAAGCATCATGCTGATGCCAGGCTTGGTCCCAGCACTGGGAACACGGCGACGGGACGTCTCTGTTCTGCCTGCACAGGGGTTCCGTCTGGAGGGAGACTGGCTGCAGCGGGAGGGCACGTGGTCCAGCAGCTCTCTGGAGGCGTGCGTGGTGGGCACAGTGGGCAGACTTCTTAGAGACGGTGAGCCCAGGGCCAGGGCAGCTGGCGCTGCAGAACAGTGGCCCTGGCCACAGCGTGGGGCTGCAGGCTGGCGGGGAGGTGACAGAATGGCCAAAGAGGCATTCAGAGATGGCCTCCCGTTGCAGGGCTGTGCCAAGTCGTTGTTGCTTTACAGTTACGAAGGACGGCGACTTCGGCTGAAATGCAGCAAGATAGACCCATGGCTGGGAGGGAGGATGGATAGACGATGCCTCCGTGCTAACGCAGGTGGAGCAAGCTTCATGGTCAAACTTGGGTGCTTGAAATGTGGGAACTGGCTGTAAACATTTTTTCAAATTTTCTAGATGTTTGAAATTTGTCAAAACAAGATACTGGGGAAACTTAGGCAAGGCAAGGGCTCTGTCCTGGGAGCATTTGCCTCCGCAGGCTTTCAGGGGCGTCGGGTTCCAGAAGGGCAGCCTGGGGCAGCACGCAGCTGCCTGAGGGGTTCACAGGGCCGTGGGCTTGCCACTGCCCACTCGCGGTTCTAGAGCACGGCTTTCTTAGTCTTTCCGGCCGTTATTTCCGTGTCTAATCCTGATGAACAAATTGCTTTTTTCTAGGTTTATTTATGAAACAGAACACCACAATGGCATAGCAGAGTTACTGGAAATCCTGGGAAGGTGAGTCTCTGCTCCTGATGTGAAGTGGCTGTGGGTGGGACATGCCACATGCCAGAGGGACCCGGTTCATCAGTGCATGCAAGGCCAGGTAAATCCTCCGCTTCACGAGTTTACGACTGCACCCAAGGGGGACCAGCAGATGGTGGCATGCTTACGTCGCTGGACTCACACATGGAGGCCACATTTCGAGTCCCAAAGCCAGCAACTTGAAACTCATGCCAGGCACGTGTACGTGTGTGCTCAAAATCCCAGAGGAGAACGGAGAAGGGACTGTGGCATGGCCGTCCCCCCTGGGGGTGGGGGTGATTTCTCACTTTCTGTCTCTGTCTCCAGCAAGTGCGCACCCTATCGTGAGAATCTTTCTTAAAAAAAAAAAAAAAAAAAGCTTTTACCTAAAGGAAGGGTCCTGAGCTCTGGATTAGAACACACGCATGACTAATCTCTGAGTCTCCTGTTCTCTGGTTCAGTATGTGGAATTCTACTTTGACACACCTCGTCGTCATTACTATGGAAACACAGTTTCAATTATTTCCTCAAGAGCACTGTTAAAAATAGCTACAAGGAAGGTTTTTATCAGGAAGGAGTAAGAACAGCTTGTACCTTTGGGGTGTGGAGTAGATGCTGATACCGTAGCCCCCCATTATCCATGTTTGGCTTTGCAGAGTCGCAGTTCACCTGCAGCACCAGAAGGGTGCTCTGAGAGCCAGCCCACGCTCACGCAGCTTCTGTGGCACCGCGCTGTCACAGCAGCTGTCGCCGATGCCTGTGGTGGGCCGTTATAAAGGAGCCCTGTTTAGGAGCCCTTACCAAAGGGCTCAGGGTTCAGGGAAAAGCAGCCTGCGCCTACTCAGTGCCCCTGCGGGTCCAGGCATCGCCGGGGTCTCCAGACGTGCACTCCACGTTCCTTCTGGCCTGTCGTCTTTACTGTGTAGACTTACAAACAGTTCCTTCTAATCCAAGTACCGCGCTTGCTTGCTGTCCTTTTTCTCATTGCTAACCTGTAGGCTTTGTATTAGACCTCCTAACCCCTCTGTTCCCAGAGCCCCTCAGAGCTCCCTGCTGGTTAAACCGGATGCTCTTCCCCTCGGGGGCTTAGTGCGACTGGCAGCTCAAGGTTCTGAGGAGCCTGCGGAAGAGGCCCTCAGACTCCCTGAACCCAGCAAGTGCTCTCAGGTGACACACGGTCTCTTCTGGGACAACCCTGGTAAATTTGTCCTGTCCAGCAGTTGAGAGAGACTGTCCCGACTGCTTCCGTTGTCCTTGCAAGGTCATTAGTCCGCACTGAGCTCTGTGTGGGTTCGTTTTCCCACTCCTGATTCCTGCCTCCCAGGATGGGCCAGTGAGAAGTCGGGCAAATTGGTTCTGCAAACCACAAGCTCGCCTGCAGCCTCCTGCCAGAACACCCCCAGGCTGTTGCAAGGAGGCCGGGGCCAGCTGTGCAAAAGCAGCCTGCCAGCCACGGCTGCTCAGAGCCCCTGTGCTCCTCAGCTTCCGGAGCTCCTGCTTTTCATTCATCCTCCATCCTGTCCCGCTAGCACCTGGATGGGGCCCTCACCTTCTGCAGCCCCCTGTGCCTGCGACAGTGAATAAGGAAGGGCCACATTAGAAACACTCCCCTGCTTCTGTGGCACTCGGAAACGTGAGTGCCTGACAGACCCACGTGTACACGCAGTGACACTTGGGCCAGAAACCTCAGTCTGGGGGACCAGCAATTGGTGTGATGGCTATGTGGCTGGACTCCTACATAGTCAACTGAGGTTCAAATCCCAGATCCGGTGGCTTAAACTCACTCCGGGCATGTGTGCGCGCGTGCCCAGGATCCCAAGAGGAGAATGGAGGAGAATGGATTGCGGTGTGGCCATCCCCCCGAGGGGGCATGATTTCTCACTTTCTGTCCCTCTGTCTCTCTGTCTCTGGCAAGCACATGTGCCCTATAGCAAAGACCTCTCAAAAAAAAAAAACAAAAACCCTCAGCCTGGAGGCCACATATAGGACCTTTGTCCTGCAGATGGGGGCACTTCCTAGCTAATTTTTAATCAAAAATGGGAATTCCTAAAAGTGGGTGCTGCCCAGCAGAGAGCACCTGTGTCCTCCCCAGGCTGTCAGACTTCCTGGCGCTGTCTGAGGCGTTTGTCCCAGGAGCTCCTTGGCTGTTTCCGGCAGCTCTGGGTCATATCCTGTCAGCCCAGAATTTCAGATGACCCCGTGCTTACGAAGATAAGACACCTATGCTTCCTTGAAGGTGATTAACCTGCGTTAAATCTGCTGATGGCCTGGGATTTTCCTGCTGGTTTTTATGTTGAAAGCAAAAACCCAGGACCAGCTGATGGTGTGGAGATTGTAGCTGGATCCCACATGGCCAGCTGCACAGTTCAAGTCCTGGACTCTAAAACTTGAAAAACACACCACATGCATGTGTGCGCATGTCCAAAATCCCAAGAGCAGAATGGAGAAGAGACTAGGGCATGGCTGTACTCACTGGGGGTGACTTCTCACTTTCCCTCTCTCTCTGTCTGTCTCTGTCTCTCTTCAGTGAGTACACACATAGCAAACTAAAGAATAAAGAACAAAAAAGAAAAACAGCAAGATGTTGGTTTCAGTTCTGGACTTTGTGAATATTCAAACCAAACACGTTTTCTTTTCACAGTATAATTAATGGGTTTGCCTTACCACTGAAAGAAGAGCACAAGATTTTCTTATTGAAGGTGTTGCTCCCTTTGCACAAAGTGAAGTCTCTGAGTGTCTACCACCCCCAGGTAAGGATGGCTGGTGTGAACCTGCCCTCCCCGTGGGGGGTGTGAGGCAGAGAGAGCCCAGCCTTTGCCACAAGGGTTCTCCCTCCTTTGTCACATCACTGATTTTGGTAACAAGTGAGCACATGCATCTTCCAGCAATTTAAAAAACAAAAAAGTTGAGAAAAATATATCATGAGGAAGTTTTCTGTAGTGTAATTTAGAACCTAGTAGTTACCTTTTTACCTTGGGAAAAAACCGTAGGTCCATGACCAATGAAACACCCAACGGAGAAAAACGTTTGCACTTTTTTGTTTAAGAATTATTTTATTTATTATTATTTCCCATTTGACCAGAAAGAGACAGAAAGAAAGGGAAAGTGAGAAAGGAAGCCACCAGGTCTGGGATCTGAACCATGGTCGGCCATGTGGGAGTCCAGCGCCTTTAACCACCACGCCACCTGCTGGCCCCAAAAATGCTGTGGACTTTTAAAACTACAGAAGTCTGCGGTATGAAAACCTGTGAGTGAGTGAGCCCTGACTGGTCGGCTGCTCTGCCCGGATGTTCGGTGCTCCTTGACCCTGCCTGCCGAGGGAGAGGAGACGCCCACCGGCATCCGTGTGTTTGGCTCACATGGGGCCTGGTGCCGAGCGGTCAGCCCGCCGTATGAGCTCAGAGGCACGTGGGCTCTGTCTTGCCAGGCCTTGCTTTGGAAGTTTGTGGCATGGGATCATTTCCTAAAGCGCACTGTCGAGTCCAACAACGTCGGCGTCCTGGGAGATATTTTACTTGCTTTTCTGATTGTTATTAACTGGCATATCGCCCCATCCTGCCAGGTCATGATCACATTAATTGTACGCAGAAACTGATCATTCAGGCCCAGCCGTGGCATCCCAGTGGTGAGCGCAACACACCGCAGAGCTGGGAGCCCGTGGACTCTCGGGTCAGTGCCTGGGTCGACCCGAACCTGCAGGGCACATACCTGCCTGTGATCCTGGCTGGCTGGACGTTGGGGGCATCATAGCCTAGGACCCTGTTGAGGGCCCTTGTCTCCCCTTCTTCCAACCCATCTCTCAAGAAATGTGTAAACTTTAAAAAATAAATAAGTAGTTGAGAGATTTGATAGAGAACCAGATTTTCACCTAGTTTTTCTTAGCTGCTAAATTACTTACTCATTATAGTCTCCAAAAGGACCACCAGGAAAACCTTCACCTAGCACACGAGTTGACTTAGCGACGGGATTAAAACAGGGTCCCCATCTCCCAGACCATGGGCCAGCGCTGGCCCATGGCCTGTTGGGGCCCCCGACACTGGGCACAGGGTGGGCGGCAGGTGAGCGGCCAGTGAAGCTTTGTGTTTGCAGCCGCTTGCCCCGTGGCTCTGCCTCCTATAGATCCCTGTACTGGCTTCTCGTGGGAGCACAGACCCCACTGTGTGGCCATTCATTGTGCATCACACGTGGTAGGGTGGAAGCGGGGTACACTTGCATCCCCCCAGCCCAACCTCACCGCAACCCCTGTCTCTGGAGGGAATGTCTTCCACGAGGACCGCCCCTGGTGCCAGGAAGGCCGAGGACCACTGGCCTAAGACTCCCGACCTTTTTATCCCTCGTCTCGCAAGCTTCCTCATCTCGTCTACCAGGTGATGGAGGAGGAGCGATCTGTCGAGCATTGTCCTGGCCCCCTCTGAGTCCCGGCTGAGCCTCGCGTGGGGCCCATGGTGTGGGTGGCTCAGAGGCCTTGTCCAGGCCTTGTCTTCCGTAGGAAGGTGGTTCGTGGTGACTAGCAGGGCCGTAGCAGAGATTCCATGTATGAAGTGTCACACCTTCTCCTTTTGCCTTTTAGCTGGCGTACTGCGTGGTGCAGTTTTTAGAGAAGGACAGCACCCTCACTGAGCCGGTGAGTACACGCCCTCCGGCTGGGCCTGCCCCGTTATCCCACGCGTAAGGTGCGCGCTTCACTCAGTGCAGACCTGCAGTGCGTCTGCCTGACCACAGCACTGCTGGAACTTTTCGATTTTAGTTACAACACCGGGAAAACACACTGGTTTCCTTCACGGGTTGAAGGTTTTCGACTGCAGGCTCATGCTGTGGTAATTACTGTGTGATGAGGGCCGCCTGGTCCCTGCTGCCCTCACCGCCTTCAGTGCACCCCGCACCTCCGCTTCAGTGCAGCCGCGCACACACCTGACGGGCTTAGAGGAGCCGTAGCTACGGCCGAGGTGCTGCTGCACGAAGACGATTCTGTCCAAGTTACTATTGTATGGTCCTTGAATCAAGTGAATTGTTAGTGTTGGGATTTCTAATTTTTTTGGCATTTTGTCTTTATTTAACAAATAAAAAAGCTATTATAGGGCCGGCCCTGAAGCCTAGTATTTAAAGGAGCCAGTTCCAGTGACCATCTGTAGTTCGAATTCCAGCCCCAACAGCTGGACAACACTGGCTGTGTGTACATGCCCCGGATCCTGAGCGGATGGAGAGATGGATAAGGGATTGTGCCATGAGAGGCTCCCACTGTGTGTCTCATGAGCAAATGCACCTTCTGGCAATTAAATAATTAAAAAGAAGGAGGAGGCTGGGACCAGCAGATGGCATAATGGTTACGTCACTGGACTCCCATGTGGACTCCCAGCCCCCAGGGGGGATGGCCATGCCACAATCCCTTCTCCACTCTCCTCTCAGGATCTTGGGCACACACACATGCCCAGCGTGAGTTCAAGCTACTGGGTTCGGAACTCGAACTGCGGTCGATTACATGGGAGTCCAGCAACACAGCCATTACGCTAACTGCTAGTCCTCAGTTTACCCATTTTAAGCATACATTTCAAAGGTTTCTGGTATATAACTTTTTTTTTTTTTTACATTTTGGTAAAAAGTATAATTTTATTAACCGTGTCATTTTAAGTACTTGACCTGGTAGTCATCGCAACCTCATACAACTCTACTATTTCTATACTTGGTCATCATCCCAGACAGAAACTGTACCCATTCATCGATAGCTCCCCGTCTGCCCCACCCAGCCCTGCGCACACAGAACCCGTGTTCTGTCTCCAGGAACTTGACTACCTCAGGTAGTTCATGTAAGTGGAGTCATAGCATATCTTTTGCATCTGGGTTATTCCGGTTAGCATAATGTCGTGGAGGGGGGTCATCATGTCCTATCAGGTGTCAGCATGGCACCCTGATTGAGGCTGGGCCGTTCCTGTGTGTATACCCACGTCCATCCACCAGGGGGCACTTGCGTCGTTTCTGCACTTTAGCTGTTGGGGGTGGTGGCTGCTGTGGACAGGACGAGCACTGTCTGTCGAGTCCGTTTTCCATTGCTTTGACTGTGTGCAGACGTGGAATTGCTGAATTATGTGGTGACTGTGTTTAGCTTATTGAGGCCCCACCTCATGGTTTTCCATCGTGACTTCTCTATTTTACATTCTTGCCAGCTACGCACAAAGGTTCCAGTTTCCGTGCATCCTCGCCGGTGCTTGTTTTGTTTTGTGTTAGGTTTCTTGCTGTAGGGCACATGTGCTCAACAGAGGCAGTCAGAGACAAAAAGACAAAGTGAGAAATCCCCCCAGGGGAGATGGCCATGTCACAGTCCCTTCCCTGTTCTCTGGGGACCTTGGGCACACGTGCACATACAGCCAGTGTGATTTTCACGCCACCGGGTCCAGGACTCTTAACTGCACGTACAGCCACCTTAACCTCCATGCCACCTGCTGGGCTCTACTTGCTTTGGGGGAGGCTCCCACTGTGTGTCTCATGAGCAAATGCACCTTCTGGCAATTAAATAATTAAAAAGAAGGAGGAGGCTGGGACCAGCAGATGGCATAATGGTTACGTCACTGGACTCCCATGTGGACTCCCAGCCCCCAGGGGGGATGGCCATGCCACAATCCCTTCTCCACTCTCCTCTCAGGATCTTGGGCACACACACATGCCCAGCGTGAGTTCAAGCTACTGGGTTCGGAACTCGAACTGCGGTCGATTACATGGGAGTCCAGCAACACAGCCATTACGCTAACTGCTAGTCCTCAGTTTACCCATTTTAAGCATACATTTCAAAGGTTTCTGGTATATAACTTTTTTTTTTTTTTACATTTTGGTAAAAAGTATAATTTTATTAACCGTGTCATTTTAAGTACTTGACCTGGTAGTCATCGCAACCTCATACAACTCTACTATTTCTATACTTGGTCATCATCCCAGACAGAAACTGTACCCATTCATCGATAGCTCCCCGTCTGCCCCACCCAGCCCTGCGCACACAGAACCCGTGTTCTGTCTCCAGGAACTTGACTACCTCAGGTAGTTCATGTAAGTGGAGTCATAGCATATCTTTTGCATCTGGGTTATTCCGGTTAGCATAATGTCGTGGAGGGGGGTCATCATGTCCTATCAGGTGTCAGCATGGCACCCTGATTGAGGCTGGGCCGTTCCTGTGTGTATACCCACGTCCATCCACCAGGGGGCACTTGCGTCGTTTCTGCACTTTAGCTGTTGGGGGTGGTGGCTGCTGTGGACAGGACGAGCACTGTCTGTCGAGTCCGTTTTCCATTGCTTTGACTGTGTGCAGACGTGGAATTGCTGAATTATGTGGTGACTGTGTTTAGCTTATTGAGGCCCCACCTCATGGTTTTCCATCGTGACTTCTCTATTTTACATTCTTGCCAGCTACGCACAAAGGTTCCAGTTTCCGTGCATCCTCGCCGGTGCTTGTTTTGTTTTGTGTTAGGTTTCTTGCTGTAGGGCACATGTGCTCAACAGAGGCAGTCAGAGACAAAAAGACAAAGTGAGAAATCCCCCCAGGGGAGATGGCCATGTCACAGTCCCTTCCCTGTTCTCTGGGGACCTTGGGCACACGTGCACATACAGCCAGTGTGATTTTCACGCCACCGGGTCCAGGACTCTTAACTGCACGTACAGCCACCTTAACCTCCATGCCACCTGCTGGGCTCTACTTGCTTTGGGGTGTGTGTGTGTGTGTGTGTGTGTGTTTCCAGTTTATTTCATGAGAGAGGAAGGGAAGGAGATGGGGACCTTTGACAAGGTCCCTCCATCAGAGTCCCTCACAGCTGTACTACAGAGGTAGCTGGCCAGTTCAGGTCGACCAGGGACCCTAGCCTGGCCTCCCCTACGGCCGCAGCATCGTGCTGCAGTGCCCTGCCACTTGTGCCCTCTCGGCTGGGCCCTGTTTTCATTCAGTGCAGCCGTCCCGGAGGGCAGGAAGCAGTATCTACTGTGGTCTGATTGGTAGTGCCCCGGTGGCTGGTGACGTTAAACATCTTTTTGTGTGTCTATTGGCCGTTTGTACTGTCTCTGGAGGAATATCTGCTGAAACCCACTGCTCATAATTAAATTGGGTTGTCTTTATTATGAGGAGCAAAGTCAGTCGCAGGTGCCAGCCCCAGTGTTTACCCTTGTAAAGTTGCTGTTAGACAAGGAAGGGTGGGCACGGCACCCCCGAGGCCTTCCTGCCCTCTTGGCTCTCACAGTGCTAGTGTGGGCTTGTAGCTTCTTCGGTGGGATATTTCTAAGTTGTACCTGTTTCTTTCTGAGGTAGGCAGGGGCAGCCCCGGCAGGGTCTGCATGCCGCCGTCACAGGCACCCCTGTGCACACCGCCCGGTCCCGGTAGGTCTCGGGACACGAACCAGGACCCTGCCCGTCTTACGTTACTGTCCGCACCACCTCCTGGCCACTACAGGAGAGACTCTGCGTACCGAATTCCCGAGTTAAACTGTTTTCTGCTCTCTGCTTTCTTTTTGTTTTTTAATGTATAATTGTATTTTATTCTTTGCCAGAGGGCAGTTCTTCAGTCCTTAAAGACTCAGCTCCTTACCTGGGCTCTGGTGGAGGGCAAGGGCAGCACCCTCAGGTCTGAGTCGAGGTGGGAGCATTTGGTCCTTGGAGCCGCACGAGATCGGGTCCTGACTCCCCAGCTTCTAGAACCTCAGTAATGCGGCTTCACACAGCTCAGGGTACACGCAGGCGTCAAGGGCACTTGCTCTGGAGACGTCCCTGACGGCTGCAGCCTCTGCTGTTTCCAGTGACATTCTTAATAGCCTTATCCTTGGGCGTACAGTTGTGCTGCGAACCGGCTGCACATGGCCACGGCCCTTTTTGGCACAGCTGTTGTTCCTTCTTTTCTTCGTCATCTTGGAAGTGAGGCCGCAAGAGAGCGCTCTGCTTGCTTTCCAGCTTTTGAATTCTGTGTGTAGACGCCCCATCTCATCTGCAAGTTCAGGAGAACTCCCCTGCTGGCCGCAGAGCTGACAGGCTGCAGGGCCGCACACCTGAGTCCCGCCTGCCAGCCTGTCTCGAGTGCCATGTCCCTGGGTGTCCCCCGATCTGTAGATACCTCTGCCTCAACTGTGGTTCTAGAAGCCTCCCAGGAAATGCACCACATCTGCTCAGACCTCAGCATCAAGCACAGCGAGGTACTGAAGTTTATGGTGAGAATGTGTCGTTTTTATCCTCCCTACCTGGATGGAATGCGTGTGTTACTGGATAAGCAATCATTTATTAATAATAATAAAAAGTCCAGGGACCAGCAGTTAGCATAATGACTGTCGCTGAACTCCCATGTAGTCAACCACAATTTGAGTCCTGGACCCAGTGACTTAAACTCATGCCAGGTGCGTGTGCATGCGTGCCCAGGATCCCGAAAGGGGAATGGAGAAGGGATTGCAGCGTGACCATCCCCCCTGGGGAGTGATTTCTCGCTTTCTGTCTCTCCGTTTCTCTCTCTCTCTCTCTCTCTCTCTCTCTCTCTGGTGAGCACATGTACCCTATAGCAAAAACCTCTCAATAATAATAATAATAATAATAAGTCCATCGGGCAGCCCAGGCCACAGTGGCACACCCTTTTAAGACCCTGTGCTTCTCAGGCTGGGAGCAACTGGGAGGTCCAGGTTCACTTCCTATTTCAACCCGAAGGCCTGGCATGGTGGTGTAGACCCAGCAGCTTGAGAGGCTGAAGCAGGAAGATCACAGGCTTGAAGCTAGCCCAGGCCACATAGCAAGACCCTGTCTGAAAAAGACCCGGCGTAACAGTCACCCACGACCCGAGCCAGGGGCTGAAGCAAGCACCATGGTAGGGTGAGGCCCTGTCTAAATCGAAGCCCCAGTGGGGTCTTACCTGTGTCCCCGCAGTGGCACGTGCCTTGTTGCTCAATCCTTGAGTTCTTCCCCAAATGACAGGACTCAGCTCTTACTAGAGAAAGGCATGTGCAGGAATTCCATCTCCCCCACCCTTCCTTATTTTCCCAAAAAAAAATAAAAGGGGGGGAGGGATCAGCAGTTGGCGTAATGGCTATGTCACATGTCACTGGACTCCCACATAGTCGACTGTGGTTTGCATCCCGGACCTGGTGGCTTAAACTGATACCAGGCGCGTGTACGTGCGTGCCCAAGATCCCAAGAGGAGAATGGAGGAGAAGGGATTGCGGTGTGGCCATTCCCCCTGGGGGGGCGAGTTCTCACTTTCTGTCTCTCTCTGTGTCTTTCTGGCAAGTGCATGCACCCTATAGCAAAAATCTTAAAAGAAAAAATAAGGGGAAAGAAAGACACAGAAGGCCGTAGTGTGTGCTGCGTTTCCCTCCGTGGCTGTCTGTGCGTGTAACTCTCCTGCTCTGGTAGGGGCCGGCGTTTGCCTGGGGGCCCCTCGCCTTATTAAGCACAGGCTGGGTATTCACCCAACACAGCCCCCCATGCAGCACCTGTCTTTGCCCCTGCCCTGCCGGACCCGCGGGCCTGAGCCCTGCTCTGGCGAGAGCTCAGCAAGGAGCCATCCCGCATGCCAGGCCTACGAAAGCCGTGAAGCGCATAGACATCACCGTGAATGACGAGGCCAGTGTGACGTGGCGGGAGTGAGGGCTCTGTGCTGCCCTTGTCTAAAAGAAGGCAGAGGCGCCATGCCACCCATGGGTCCCTCCATAAATGCCTCACGCCAGATTCTGATGTGGTGTGAGCACAAGGACCGCAGGCGCACCCAGCCCATCTTTCCTCCAACAGTCCCTCTGCCTTTTTTTTTTTTTAATTTGTCAGAGGGTACACGTGCTTGCCAGAGTCAGGGCAGGGGTGAGAAAGCAACCCCACTTTTGCACGAATCCCTTCTCTTCCTTTCTCCCATCGGGATTTGGGGCACACGCCTGGTGTGTTTTCCAAGTCCCCAGGTCCAGGACTCAGACTGTGCAGTCAGCCACGTGGGACTGGGCCACCTTCACCATGCCAGGCGGCCGGCAGTCAGCCACGTGGGACTGGGCCACCTTCATGCCAGGCGGCCAGCTGCCCAGTCCTGCGCACAGATAACGCAGCGCTCCGGGCGCAGAGGGCAAGCGCCACTTCTCTACGTTAGAGCTCACAGGCCTCGCCCTGGCTCCTTCCTGCCTTTGACACTCCTATGATGTGCGTGGGCCGTCGTGCCGTCTGCAGTAGCCAGCACAGTGGGGGCTCTTGTAGGCAGCCGTAGGGCCTTTGCTGTCCACGCGCCGTCTCGGAGCACAGCGCACCAAGTATGGCAGGAGATGAGGGATGCGCTGCCCCAAAGCACGGGCAGTCAGTGCCCCAGGGCCCTGCAGACAGCACTCCGTGCCGACCTTCGGGCACCCTGAGCGCACTGGCCGTGGGGAGGGAGCAGAGGCCCGTAGACGGCTTAGGGGACGGAAGGGGGCTGAGCCCACCCTCACACCGCCCTGTGGCTGGCCGTGCTCCCCTGGTGGCCACTCTTTGTCCTCCCTGGAGCGCCAGCACAGGAGAGGGCTCCCAGGACTCGAGGCCAGGGCCCCTGGCTCTCCTGCCCTCTCCAGGGCATTGGCGTCCCACTGAGTCTCCACGGAAGGCCCAGGCCTTGAGCAGCACCATACTGCAAGTGGCCATCGGCCCCCAGGGCCAGCCCCCGAGCACACGCCCTCTTGGCAGGACCCTGCCACACACCGAAGGGCCAGGTCACAGGCCATGGCCGTGGTGTGACCTTGACTTCAGAAAGAACGCCTGGCGGGGACGGCGCCGCTCAGTCAGCGTGTTAGCACCGCAGGTGAGTGCCTTCTCCTGGGAGGGCCCTGGCCCGTGAAGACGGCTGCGGCCGCCGTGTTCTGACAGTGGCTCCTACGCAGACTGGGCAGGCACCCAATAAATGGCTATTAAATAAGTTTGAGCAAAAAATAGAGAGGAAGTCGTTAAATGATGCATTTTTAAATAATTCCTTTTAGAGCCAGCCAAGTGGCAATGATGGTTAAGGCACTGGATCTTACATGTCCGACTGCTCAGTTCAAGTCCTGGACCTAGTGGCTTGGAAAACACGCCAGGTGCGTGTGTGTGTCCAAAGTCCCGAGAGAAGAATGGGGGAGAAGGGATTGTGGCGTGGCCGTCCCCCCAGGGGGTGCGTGTTCTCTCTCTGTCTCTCTCCAGCGAGAGCACTTATGCTCTGTAGCAAATTTTTAAAAATTTAGAAAGAACGAACTAACGAACTCCTTTTAAAGATGATTGTGTTGTAGACTTTTTATGTCAGATTGCAAAAGTAGGAGCACTTTCTGTTTTATAAATTTTGAAAGTTTTTTTAAAATCACCAAAGGGTACGTGCACTTGCTGAGGACAATCAGGAAAGAGGGGAAGAGCAGCCCTCAGTGGGGCTTGGTCAGGCCACTATCCCTTCTTCATTCCTCCATCCCCTCAGGATTTGGTCCACACGCGTGCAGCGTTTTTCAAGCTGCCGGGGTCCAGGATACTGGCTGTGCGGGCCCTGACTCTAACTGCTAGGCCAAAGACCAGCCTGACTTTGGAGCGTGATGAGTCGTGATCATGCAAGACCTCCCAGGAGCCCAGACACCAGAACGCTACGGAAGGATTATTCTAGAGAAATGTTTCTTAAAAGCCAGTTTGTGGGGCCTGCCCCTTAGCTCAACAGTTAAGTGTGTTAAAAGGCAGGTCCCACATGCCTACACTTCGAATCCCAGCCCTGGCAGTTGGAAAAACACGCCAGGTGCTTGTGTGTAAATGCCCAGAATTCTAACGAGATGGAGAAATGGGCGAAAAGGCTCGCAGCGTGACTGTTGCCCCCTCTGGCCAGCACACACATACCTTCTGGTAGTCTGCTTTAAAAGGCCACCTCACAGGAAGAGGTTGCACCTGCAGGGTCCCGCCTGCAGGTGTGTCTGTGGGCCTGATGTAAAGCCTGTCCAGGATCTTTGTACTTTTTTTGGAAGTAAGTCAGCTAAACTCTAGACCTAGTGCTATGCGCTGAGTCAAATCCAGTATTTAATGCTGGGAAAGTACAGGGGTGTGAAAAGAAAAGAAGGCTGCGCAGCAGGAAGCCCACGAGTTAGGAGACCTGCAGTCCGCTCGCAGGTGCCTCACGGGAGCTGGTGGCGCGGACGCTCCTAGTCCTTGTGGTCCTCGCTGAGGCCTCTGCTGCCGCCCGCCCGCTGCAGGCCAGTGTGTGCACAGCAGCAGGTCGCCGGCTCCAGGCCCCGCAGCAGCACTGCAGGCTTGGCTTGGAAACGCCAGCTCAGTTCACTCCATTCTTTCCAATACATTTAACGTGGTTGAAAACGCCACCCATGCGTGCCCGTGCCTGCGTGCTCGTGTGGAAACGCACACGGTGCTCAGCTCGTCTGAGAAGGAAACGGGCGGCGTGTGTCCGTCTCCGTGGTTTCGGGGCAGGCTGCTTCCACACTGACGTCCACACACGAACCCGCTGGTTCTCTGCTCTCGCCACTGCTCTTAGTTGCGCTCAGTTCCCTCATCACTTATTTTTTGTTTTCATCTTTTGTTTTCCCCTTTTTGTTTCTTTAAAGGAATGCTTACTAAAAATTGGTAGTGGGGACCAGCAGTTAGCGTAATGGCTATGTTGCTGGACTCTCACGTAGTCGATCGCGGTTCGCGTCCCAGACCCGGTGGCTTAAACTCATGCCAGGTGCGTGTGCGTGCGTGCCCAAGATCCCGGGAGGAGAATGGAGGAGAAGGGATTGCGGCGTGGCTATCCTCCCTGGGGGGTGATTTCTCGCTTTCTGTCTCTCTGTCTGTCTGGCAAGCACACGCGCCCTATAGCAAAAATCTCTCCAAAAAAAAAAAAATGGTGGTTGATTAGAGAACAGTGGGTCATATGAATGGTGACTCGGAAGTATGCGCAAGGAGACCTGCTTTCCTCATCAGAGACTCGCTCAGCAGTGCACCACGTCAGCACCCCAAGGAAGCCAGCGTGGTCTTCCGTAGTGGCGTGGCCGTGGGAAGGCAGATGCTCACCTCCTGGTGAGGGGCCTCTGGGCTCACATTGTGCGTCGTTTCTTCTGCAGGTGGTAATGGCACTTCTCAAATACTGGCCAAAGACTCACAGTCCAAAAGAAGTAATGTTCTTAAACGAATTAGAAGAAATTTTAGACGTCATCGAGCCATCCGAATTTGTGAAGATCATGGAGCCTCTGTTCCGGCAGTTAGCCAAGTGTGTCTCCAGCCCACACTTCCAGGTATGCAGGGTTCGGGGAGATGGTTACGTTCTCCAGAAGGTTCATCTGAAACCCCAGGTTTCCATGGGTAGCTGGTCATGATTTGCTTCCCACGTAATCTGGAGGCCAAACCCAAGTTTTCACTTTAATTGGACCTTATGGTAAAATGCTGAAACTTTCATTCTGAAAAACATGCTTTGATCATTTGTCCCCATTGCTGAAAACATTTTTTCTTCTTTTTTTTGAAAGATTTTTGCTATAGGGTGTGTGCACTCACTGGAAAGAGAGACATAAAATGAGAAATCACCTTCCAGGAAGGATGGCTACACTGCAGACCCTTCTCGTCCACTCTCCTCCCGCAATTTTGGGCATGCACGCACATGCACCTGGCATGAGTTTCAGGCCTCCAGATCCAGGACTCAAACTGTGGTCGGCCATGTGAGAGTCCAGTGATGTAACCATTATGCCATCTGCTGGTCCCTGAAAACATTTTTTCTCAGTAGGAATAATTTAAAATGATCATTCTGTGAACCTTATGATCATGTTCAATGTGCTCTCAAATCCATACAATTTTATTTTCTACAACTGAATAATTAATACATAATAAGGTGATAAAATCTTTGGCTCTGAAATTCTCTCCCTTCATAAGCCCTTCATTTCTGACATTATGTAAATTTATCTCCTCTTACCTATTAAAAAAATCAATGGTCCTTGGACCAGCAGTTAGCGTAATGGCTATGTTGCTGAACTTTCATGTAGCCGACCACGGTTCGAGTCCTGGACCCGGTGGCTTAAACTCACGCCGGATGCGTGTGCATGCGTGCCTAAGACCCCGAGAGGAGAATGGAGGAGAAGGGATTACGGCATGGCCATCCCCCCGGGGGGTGGTTTCTCGCTTTCTGTCTCTCTGTCTCTCTCTATCTTTCTGGTGAGCACACATGTCCTATAACAAAAACCTCTCCAAAAAAAGAAAAAAATTGAGAGTCCTGAGTTTTATCACTACCAGAGTTTTTATAAGGAGGCATCTTGGTCTGTCGTGTTGCTATGAGAGAATACCAGAGACTGGGTAATTCATGATGGACAGGAATGTGTGTCACTGACGGTTCTGAAGTCTGGAAAGTCAAGAATGAGGCGCCGGCATCTGGTGGGGCCTTTCTTCAACGTCACCCCATGGCAGGAGGTGGAAGGGCCAGAGGGACAGGAGACAGAAAGGGGAAGAGCTGAGCCGTCTTTGCCAGGAGCCCACTCCCGTGATAATGGCCTTCCCCGTTAGCGAGGGCAGAGCCCAGCAGCCTCCTCACCTCCTAGACGTCCCACCTCTCCACCGTTGTGCTGGTCTGGTCTCCAAGACAGACTGGGCGCTCGGCCACCGCAGAGGGCTGCCTGAGTCAGAGCCGCTGTCCGCTGTCCCTTCTTCCTTTCCTTCTCCCCCTCCAAACCGGCTCTGGCTCTTCACCTCTTCCAGAGTCTGCCCGCCTGCCTCTGTCCCACGTCCCCGCCACCCTTCCCTCCGCATCAGCGGGCATCGTGGGCCATGCACTCACCGTGGGCAGGCGAAGGCCCAGGCACAGACCACAGGCCCTCGCAGTCTGCTGGCCGCCGGCGGCTCGGAGCAGGGACTGCACTGGCACAGCCACGCCGCCAGCTGCTCGAGACACGGCGGGGCAGGCGTGGGCACCTCCCAACTGACTCTTCGAGATGGACGTGCAAAGAGGTTACTGAAACCAGGAAATTCGGTCACGAAAGCACAGCAAGAGACAGAAAACACCCAAGTTCTGAGTGTGGATGGGGCCGTCAGGTGCGGCCGGGTCCGGTCCGTCAGGAAGGAAACCGCCTCGTCTCTCCTCTGCGTCACGCGCAGCCAGGTTGCTCTTACTTTAGAAACTGCACGTTGGGAACTAGGAAATGAGCATTTTTCAAAACTTTCGATGTGAGCAGTTGGCAGAAATGAGTGTCACGCCCCAGACACTAGGGGCCAGCAGCCCAGGGCACTGACCAGAGTGCAGGCATTAGAGCAGTGGGACGAGTCACCGAAGGCCTCTGAAGACTCGGCCCTCTTCCCCAGCAAAGCCGTGCTGCAGCCATTGACACAGGCAGCGTCACACGCCCCAGGGAAGACTGTGTCCAGCAAGACCATCGTGTTTAATAAAAGCGTGGAGAGGGGACCCGAGGGCGAGAAATGCTGGTGGGGAAGGTCGAGTGTGGCCATACAGCTGCCAGGAGCCCCGTGATCAGGGCCCAGCCGTCCCCACCGAGGCCTGGCTTCCCATGGGCTACCTCAGCCGCAAAGAGCCGGCAGGGCACTGAGGCGACCGGAGCCTCTGATGGGCGAAGACCCCACCCACCCCTCCTCCACTCAGACCACACTCGAACCCATGTTACGTTGTGCTCCTGCTCGGACCCAGGGCAGCCAGGGCGCGCCAGAATCTCTTCCACACGCACATGAGCCCAGCTCATAATATTTAGGTTTTTCTCCATTAAAGAAAAGACTGAAGATGTTAAAAGCTGAAGGGGGGGTGTGCAAAACTAAAACTGTAAAGCATCTTAAGTTTATGTTCTCTGATTTCGGCTTAAATATTACCTCCAGATATATTTCCGGATAGGGGCACAGATGCCGTTAGCACACAGGTATGCCCTCCTAAGTAAGATTGTCCTGGGAGGGACTAGCAGTTGACGTAATGGCTATGTCGCTGGACTCCCATGTAGCCGACCACGGTTTGAGTCCCAGACCCGGTAGCTTAAACTCACGCTGAGCAGGCATGCGTGCCCAAGATCCCAAGAGGAGAATGGAGGAGAAGGGATTGCTGCATGGCCTTCCCCCCTGGGGGGTGATTTCTCGCTTTCTCTCTGCCTCTCTCTGTCTTTCTGGCGAGTGTGCATGCCCTATAGCAAAAACCTCTCAAAAAAAAAAAACTGTCCTGGGAGCTGTACGCCGGCCCGACTTCCCGGTTCACTCACACTCTGCTCTCCGCTTGCCGTTCTGCAGCGCGCACCCCACTCGCTTTCTCCATGCGGGCCTGGCTCTGAGCCTGGCACCGCCTGCACACCAGGCTCCCTGCACCACCCCTCCCACAGCGCAACCTCGGGGTCTCCAGGCCACAGCTCCTGGGGCAGAAATGCCCCCACTCTGCTCAGGGCCTCCCAGCGCACTGGACTTCTGCAGCTTGTCGGGGCGGGTGGGCGGCGACGTGGAGAAGCCCCTCCTGCTCCAGTGCACTCGCCGTGCAGCCCAGGCCCGGTGCCCTGTTAACAGAGGGAGCAAGCCGGCAGAGGTGTGAACAGTGGGTCTGGGTGCAGGGGTGCGGGTGCCAGTGGTTCTAACTTTCAGCTTTGAGGTTTGAGATTTTAGTCATGAAAATAGGGAACCCTCACAGTGGCTTTTCTTCCCCTCCTGCTCCCACCAAGCCGGCCCTGGGGTGTGCCTCTGGCCTCAGCCCCACCTGCCCCACCTTGCCCGTTCACTCCCTGCTGTCCTCCCATCGTCCGCGCTCAGCTGGCCCCTTCCCTGCGGCCTCCCGGTCTATAAATGATCACCCCGGTGCTTTTACAGCCGCTGTCACCTGTCTCCTCCACAGGGTGTAAGCTCCGTGGAGGCACAAGGGCTTCTGCTTCCTGTGCTCCCTGCTGGTTCTCGGCGCATGCCAGAGACCTACTGGGCCATCGCAAAAGTCATGGCACATTTTGCACAGAAAACATTTTTAAAAAGTACATCATGGTTTTCCCACAAGCCAATAGTAACCGCAGACTGGGCAGAGAAGCGAGGCAGAGTTAATGGACAGGTGGGAAGGGTGGACAGGGAGGTGGCAGGTGGGGTGGTGGGGGTGGGCACGTGAGGACGGGTGGGTGAGGGCAGGTGGACGGCGGGGACAGCTCTGTGACTGGCGTCCTTAGCATCCAGCCCGTGTTGGCATGAGTGACAGTGACTGTGATTCGTGATGCCTGCTTACCTCTTTATCGAAGGGTTTTTGAGGTCTCAACCTCAAGTATTTGAGTTTACAGGAGTCACGGAAATGCTGTCGAATCTCAGCCGTCATCTCGTCCGGGGCCTCACAGTAAAGGTTCTTGTGGAACGTTTCAAAGCGTGACCGCCAACCACGTGTTGCCCTCGCTGTCTTCCAGGTGGCCGAGCGAGCCCTGTACTACTGGAACAATGAGTACATCATGAGTTTAATCAGCGACAACGCGGCCAAGATTCTGCCCATCATGTTCCCGTCCTTGTACCGCAACTCAAAGACCCACTGGAACAAGTAAGAGCAAGCTGGCTGTCTCCTTGTCTGTCGCTTTTTAAACCCTCATTTACTCACAACAGTGTGCACCCGGGCAGGGTGGCCACAGACGCACACTGCACTGGGCTCCTCTGTCCCTGGCCCTGTAGCTCACCGGGACCCTGGGCACAGGCACACGGCGTGTGTTCAGGCCTACCGGGACTGAACCGTGGTCAGCCCTGTGCCTTCCAGCAGTGCAGTTCTGTTTACTGCTGACCGCGCCACCAGCCTGGGCCTCTGTTCATTTTTAAATGTTGTATTTTTGCTGATACTTCAATTAGAATTCAAATATCAATTTTGAGCGTTAAAGAACGAAGCTGTTGGTTTTTTTGTGGACCTACAAATTAAGTGGCAGTGTGGGCTGTGGCTGTGATCTTCCATTTTGCGTCCTTATCCCCCGTCCAAGGCCACATAGAGCCACATTTGTCCCTGCCAGTGCCGTGCTGGCATCTCTAGCCTCTGCCTCAGCCCCCTCTGGAGGAGTCCAAGGCTGCTGTGGTTTGTGGAGCTCAGCCCTAAGGAGCACACCAACACGGGCCCTAAGGAGCCTTCTGTGCACTGGGGAACCCCTATGGGAGTCACTGTGTGGACATGCAGGGAAGAGCAGGTGATTAGACACAGCCAAGGTCGGAAGTGCCACTTGCACTTCTCTCCTTTCTCGTGTCACTAAATGAGGATGAACAGATCGATTTATCCAGCAATAGTCTTCTGAGACCTTGAAAAAAACCACTGGTGTGGGGACCAGCAGATGGCGTGATGGTTGCCTCACTGGACTCCCACGTAGTCGACCACGGTTTGAGTCCTGTACCCGACGTCTTAAAACTCACACCGTGTGCATGTGTGTTCATGCCCAAAATCCCAGGAAGTGAATGAAGGAGAAGGGATTGCAGCGTGGCCATCCTCCCGGGAGGTGATTTCTGTCTCTGTCCCTCTCTGTCTCTATGGTGAGCACACATGCCCTATAACAAAAATCTCTTAAAAATAAAAGAAGCTACCAGTAGGGATGCCATGTTAATTCTTATTCCTGAATTTAATACTCACGTTACTTAGACACACATGAATATCAGTTTGTCTCTCTCAGTCTCTGTTCATCTCTTTGCGCGTCATAATCATCAATGAGAGTTTACAGCAAGAGGTGAGACGGACAGACAGAAAACCCCCTCGGTGGGGCCCAGCCACAGTGCAGTCCTTTCCCACCAGTTCTCCATCTGAATTCTGGGCACATGTGTGCACCTGGCCTGCTTTGCAAGCTGCCAGGACTGAGACTTGAACCAGAGTCAGTCAGGTAGATCCACTTTGCTCTGTGCAGTCCTTAACCGTGTGCTACAGGACCGGCCCAGGTTACCATTTCTGCTCTACTCTGTAGAGCTGTCTGAGTCAGGCGAGTCGGACCTCTGGCCCTCTCTCAGCCTCTATCCTCGTCTAAAAGTAGAAGCAGTAGAGTGCTTCTTTGTGCAAGTCCCATGGTCGTGCAGGTGGGTGGGGGTAAAGCTGGTGAGCACAGCGTGCCTGGCGCACAGTAGGAGTTCCGTAACTCAACAGCACTGCGGGTGAGGACGGGCGGCAGGGCTGAGCTACTGCGCAGTGGTCGGGGAGCGCGAACGAGGCTGCCGTCCTGTCAGCTCTGAACACGCCTCTGTGACACTTGACCTTGTGCTCACTGAGCACAGCAGGCGAGCCATGCCCCTTGCGTATGATTGCATATGTTGTGAAAACCGGCACGGTCAGGGACCGGCTCCACTCTTGCCCGTCGCAAACACAGAAATGTTCTTGTAACTGTATTTTAAGTATGAGTTGAGTTTTGTTACAAAATGGACTAAAAGCAGTTACGATTTGAGAGTTATCTGGGAGTTACGTTTGTTTCCAGCTTGCTCCACACAGCGCAGGGGCTGACTGGGCTCTGCCAGGCAGTTTCTCTGCTGAGCTTTTCTGGGCGCCCTTCTGTGGCTGCAGTCAGATGGCATCTGGGCCTGGAGCCGTCCCAAAGCCCCGAAGGACCCTGGGACAGCAGGTCCTCCCCGTCATGTGCGTCAGAGCTGAGGAGCCGAGTTTTGACTGTGCTGCTTTATGGTCATTTTACTTTCTACGTTTTAAAGTTCTGCTGTGGCATTATCAAAATTACGCCCTCTGGGCTGGCAGGTGGCGTGGTGATTAAGACGCTGAGCTCCCACGTGGTTGGCCGTGGTTGGGCCCCAGACCGGATGGCGTGCTTTCTCACTTTCCCTTTCTCTCTGTGTGTCTCTCTCTGGTCAAATTTAAAAGAATAATGATAAATAAAAGTAAATAATTCTCTAGAACAAGTTATGTCCTCAGATAAGATTGAAAGGAAACTGACATTTGCAGGAAGTCAAGGTTTCCTTTATCGTTCCCATATAATTTTGTCTTAATTGTGTTTAATGAAGTCCCAGCATCTGGACTGAGCTGAGGGCAGTAAGCCGAGGGGAAGGCCGGATGTGCGGTGCTGCAGCAGGCCCGGGACGGCGGGCGGACGGGGGGCGGCGGGCGGGTGAGGCCTCGGCTTCTCTCACCCTAAAGCGCAGGAGACGTAGGAGAAGGGAGATGCTGAGATGGGAAGAAGCCTGCTAAGGGTCTAGAGGAAAGAGGAGGTGGTGGGGAGTGGGGAGAAGAGGCTGTGCACCCCGAGTCTCACCGTGCCCTCCTCTTCCTAGGACGATACACGGCTTGATATACAATGCCTTGAAACTCTTCATGGAGATGAACCAAAAACTATTCGACGACTGCACCCAGCAGTTCAAAGCAGAGAAGCTGAAGTAAGTGGCCCCTTCCACAGAGCTGTTTCCTGGACGTGTTTCCTCATCCTGAAAACAGTAAAAAGGTTTTTTTATTGTTTTGTCCTAAAGAAGCTGCCCTTCACTGAGGCAGAATCTGTTCTGTCTTACTGGAAAGCACGTTAAAGCCTCGTGACCTAGAGTTCTCACAGCACGGATGTTTAAAGTTAGCTCCCCTCTGCCCGGGATTACTAGTGTGACCGTCCTCGCAGGAAGCGCAGGTGCGGTGGAGAATTAACGTGGAGGACTTTTACTTTCCTCGGTAACTCTCGCAGGCTGCGGTGGCAGTAATTGTCCAGGTTCCCACGACAGACATTTGAATTATGGCCTGAAGGTTCGATTCAGAGAGTGAGAACCCTCACCTCCACGGAGCTTGGCGGTTCTAGTCTCGTGAGCTTCAGACGTGGGCGTGTTCTGGATCTGGTCTGTCCTTGGAGAAGTCCTGAGCTTCTGAGGACTTCAGAGCCCACATGTGTCCCGCGATGGTCTAGGCGGCAAGGTGCCCCGTCCCCACCTGTGCGAGTAATCACGTCACCCCCTCAGCGTCCAGTGTAGACTGTTGGCAGATTTTATTCTTGTCATCACTCAGAACCTGCTGAGGTAGATCGAGGTTTGAGTGACTGATTTGAAATGTGTGGCTGTCTATGGCCAGTTGTCATTCGTTCATTCTTTAGACAAATATCTGGACATCTGCTTTATCCCGGGTTCTGTTTGGGTTCTAGAGGTCCAGCAGTGAATAAACCGATAAATCCTTCCCCCGTGGGGCTCGTATTCTGGGTAACCTGCACAGAGAGCAGTGCAAACGCGTAGACGGAGCGGGCGAGACAAGACTGAGGCACGTCCCGGCTCGTCCCCCTGCCGTGCGGCCCCTTCCCACCTCGGCGTGAGCGCAGTGCTGCCTGGGCAACTCCTCCCCTCACTCTATGAAGGGGCCTAAAAGATTGAGGGTTTTTGTTAAAAAGGAAAAAAAAAAAAATCCTCTGGATTTAAAAGGAAAAAAGTCCAAGTCAAGGGACTTACCAAAGGTCACATGACTCTTCTAACAGTGAAATCAGACAGACCAGGTCTCCGGCTCCTAAAACCATTCCTTTTCATTTTAATCTGTGATAGAGAACATGAGTGTGTGCTCACTGACATAGGGAGAGTAGTGCACATGCGCACATGCACGCGCACACAAGCACAGGTCTGGTCACACGTGGTCCCTTCTCCCGGACAGCCAGGTGCTCAGGTTCTTTGGCACACACACCCAACGAGTTTCAGGTCAGCCGTGCCAGGGGTTGAACGATGGTGGCCTTCCACTGATAAGGCCAGCTCTTTTCGCCTCGCCTGCCTGGACAGCCACATAGGTCCCATGAAGAGCTAGTGAGCAAGACCTGGTGTGAAGAGACAAGGCACCTGCAGAGGTTGAGTGTCCCTTATCCAAAATGCTCAGGACCCAGAGTGTTTCGGATTTTGGATTTTTGCCGGTTTAGGAATATTTACATAAGTGACATATCTTGGGGATGGGACCCAAGTCTACACATGAAATTTATTTATGTCTGATACATGCCTTAGACAGAGATCTTAATACTGTGACCGTATACAGTATTTTTGTGTTGCAGCGTTCTGACTTGACCTGTCGCGTGAGGTCACGTATGGAATTTCCCACTTGCTGTATCACGTTGGCACTCCGAAATTTCAGAGTTTGGGTTTCACATTTTTGAATTAGGGATGCTCAACCCATATAACGTTTTTTTAAGAACATGAAATTCTTATGCATGTTAGATTTTTAGCGTTTTTATCCTATTCATCTTTAAGTCTTGGTGTTTGTTCGTCTCTCGTGTCGCGCACCTTGTGACCACACTGCCGAGTAGGCCCGGAACGCAGCAGGGGGAGCCGAGGGCTGTGTCGCTGGGCATATCTGTGCCTTACCCTTTGACAGGTGCTTGAATGTGACTCATCATGCTAATACAAATGACATTTTACTATTTTTCAGAGAGAAGCTAAAAATGAAAGAACGAGAAGAAGCATGGGTTAAAATAGAAAATCTAGCCAAAGCAAATCCCCAGGTACTAAAAAAGAGAGTAACATGAAAACCGCCAGGGTGTTGCTTGAATGTTTTTCTAAGATAGGAACGTGGCTTCGTCGTGGGAGGGAAGGAAATCAATTTTACTAACGTTGTACGTGAAAGTATCTGCAATAAAAAATGCTTTTCGATTTTGTAACCCTCCTCTTGTACAAGTACTTATTTTGTCCCTCAACATTTTTACCACAGAATTGACTTTTTTTTCCCCTCTGCTTTTTAAATAAGATATGAATCTTATACTGTGGTAAAAAGAAAACCAGGCCATCACCTCTGTTTTGGACCAAGGCTGTAAACTGCTTTGTCTCCTACATGATCCATGCTGTAGCTCAAATGATATTCCTCTCTCTTTAATATCCACTCAACCCTAGAAGAAAGGAACGTAGATTTGGAATAGGTCAAGTGTGCAGTTAACGTCCTCCTTCCTAAAATCAGGTATGGGCTTAGCCTCTTATTAAGAATTCCCTGAATTGTGCCAGATTAGCGACGAAACCTCTTCCTGCCCAGGCCAGTGAGTGCCCGTGGGAGCCAGCGTGCTCCGGTGAGCCACAGCAGCGAGCGCTGTCCCCTGCAGCACACACTGCCGCAGAGGGCTCCCTCTGGGTCAGCTCCACCGTCCGAGTGATGGGCCGGGCTCGCTGCCAGCAGTGCCTCTGACCGACGTCCGCTGGTCTGACCACAGCCACACTCAGTCCTCGCTTTCTTCACTCCCCAGAGCTGGAGATATGTTAGTGCAGCGTGTACTTCTTCGGGTGAGAACTGTGCATAAAGAATTATTATCTCTCTTTGTGTGTAGATTTTTCAGTCTCTCTGACATTTAATTGCAAAGTGATACGTGAATATTTCCAGTGCCTACTTCCCATCTAACAGTATACCGGTCTGTCTTCCCTTTGGTAAAACTACATTGAGGAGACTTAAACCACCAAAAACTGAACAATACCCTTACATGTGTGTTTCTGATTGCACTAAAACGAGCAGCCGCGTCCTCACAGTATCCGTGCTCGTGCCTGGAGGCGCTGCTTTAAGACGGCCGTGTTGAGGTGGAGGGGACCGAGCTTGTGTCACCAGTGAAGTTAAGTGCTGAGACTTGTTCTGAAAGCTAGTGAAATTCCTAGTCCGGGCAGCCTTACATGGTTGCCCTGAGCCGAGGGGGCACGACCTGGCCCCCCACGCACACAGCGTAAAGCCGCAGCCTTGCAGAGCACATGTCTGCTCACAGGCCTGGTGTGGTCACGTC